TCAAGCCACTTGACCTATTAAATTCCTCCTGAAATGCTTCGATCCCATCAAGCACGTTAACGAGTGTGTCCGCGTTTAACGGGTCTCTTCCAATGATTGACGCTGGGTCACCTGATCGGCCGCGTCCTGAGTCCCGCGCACTGGGGTTACCCCTGTGAGCAGTTTCCCGATCCATCCCCCTTGCCCTATGCGATCCAGTCGAATTTGACCTTGATCGTTTGCTTGGGGTTGGGCTGGGATGCAAATCCAATCTATCTACGATATTACGCTCCCTAGGGCTCTCAAATCCTGAGAGTCCTGGGGGAGGGGACATGTTCCTCATGGTCGGGTTTACCGACGGCCTCGGCCTGACGTTACGGTTGGCCACGTCAGGATTGAGATTCTCAATTGACAAAGGTAGCATGAATTCGTCGCTTCCAGCAGCCCGTTTTGGGCTTTGGAAATGCGGGAAAGATGACGGGGCAGGTGGCCCTGGCATCCATGCGGCAAAATCCATACCAAAAATGTTTCCGTCGTTGGGCCATGAGGCTCTCCAATCGAGCCCACCGGATTCGGTCGGCAGATGAACGTCAAATGCAACTCCACTGGATGTACCAGGTTCGGGATTACCGAGCGCTTGAAAAACTATACTACTGGTTGGCACAGGTCTATTGCTACTTTGAGAGTCACGAAACTCGGACTGACCAATATTCATCAGCTCCGGGAAAGATGAGGATTGAGCTCCAGGTGCAATACCGGGCTCGTCATCATCACGTCCTGAGACGAAATCATCATGGTCAGGACGATTAGCCCCATGACCCTGAGAGCGATTAGCTCTTGAGGCATTAGACGATAAGTCATCAGTGCGAGTAGCACTGGACCTTCCTGAAGGCATTGCTTCTGAAAAGGAGTGGTCCGACAAAAAATCAGGACCGGAAAACATCGGCTGTCCGGGCACTTGGTCGTCATTCACAACGTCCAAGATTCCGGCCTGGCCGAGAACCCACTCATCGGTTACCACATGAGGTCCATCCTCGGTGATTCCCGCCATGAGTCCTACAGTAGCCTATGGAAAACGGCGCCTGCAGGGTTGTTATTAAATGGGGTTCGCGGTGCCAACCGAGGACGAATCCTACGGCTGATAACCTGCGAAAGGGTTTGAAACAGAGTTTCGGGATGGATAAAACAGGCCCTAACCCACCAACAAGAAGAGACCACCTTATCCCCCCCCGGTCCCAAGGGCAAAGCGGTTGCCCTCGGCCGGCACAAACACGAACCAAAAGGGGTGCCAGTTTAACAAACAGAAGAAAGAACCCAGCAAGGGCAGCAGCGCAGCAAGCGCACGAGCAGCAGCACCAACGCGGGCAAGCAAAGCGAGCGAAGCAAGCAAAGCAAACCAATGCAACAACCCAACAAAGCGAATGACCCACCTCCGCCAGGAGACCAACCGCGGAAGAAGCGGCCCGCACCTTTTCCAGGTACGAGACGAAGTCCGCGCCGTTGGCGCTAGCGACGAAATGGCAGACGCTCGTCGCCGGTTGTAAAAGCTTGAGCCAAAAGCCGCGTTGGGCTTCGGCATGAAACATGCTATGATAAAAGTACATGCCCCCAAAAACAGTTTTGGTTGGTTGGCTCGCGCATGCAACTATGCAGTTTTGAAACATGGTGGCCTCCTCGCTTCACTATGGCATTCGCAGGAACCTGCCCGAAGGGTGAAAAAGTCTTTTGACGCCGTCTTGTTGCGCTTCCATTCTTGCTGGGAAGCAAAGTTATGGGATTTCTGCTGGCATTCATGACTGACTGCTTGTTTGGAACCAACCTGTCGCAGTGGCTCGTGTGTCTTCTTCTCGGCATGTGTCTGCAACGGCTCTAGCTTTGTGGGAGCGCATCGCGGCGTTCACGAGCAAAGCGTCACCAGCACAGCTCGAGCTCCTACCTTCAGCCTGACTTTGGCTTTCTGCCGCCACTTCTGCAGGGTCGAGCCCCGCATTGCAAGCCAAGCAAGTCTTGCACGCCACGGGCTCGCCCAATCTGCATGCAGGAATCCAAGTCTAATTCGGGAATCAGTTGCTACAGGCATGAAACAGCTGGACTGACAGTTGCACATTCAAGCAATGAGCAAGCAGGTGAGACGCCTAAGTTGCATGAGAGCTACAGCATTCGCTATTGGCAGGCCACACTCACTCACTGCAAACGTCACTGCCTGCAGGCTCAAAACGGAGATTCGATGAGCACTAAGTAAGCTTGCACACAAGAACTTCATGTCCACATCGTGCCGTCTAGCGGGGCGCCCAGCCTGTGAGGGAGCCAGATTGATAGCTAGGGCGGTGGCAAGATGTGCCTCGCAAAATAGCACTCCTTCGACATGTAATGCAGACTGGGCGCCAGTCCGAAAGCGACGTTGCATCACATTAGCACAACGCTTTTTTTCCGGGGCCAAGCAAGCTTTTAGACATGGTGTAACCCCCGCATCTCTGCACATGAACGTGCTAATTACTGGCATAGCCTAATTCCTCGCAAAAGCGGCACAAGGCACGACATCCTTGCGTGCCACTACGCCAAACAAGGCACGACTACTTTGTCTGGGCTGCGCACGTGGACGCTCCTACTACCTTGCACGAACCAATTGCTCCCCAAAGCTCCTGACAAGGCACGACTACCCTGCCTGGGCGTATGCCAACCGTCTGCTAGCTTATGAAGGGCCGGGCTGATGACCCCGAACGCATGGAACTTGGAATCTGAACTTCAATGAATGTGCACTTCACCAACAATAGCAGGCGCTGGCAAGGCAGCTTCAGAGAAGACTGCGAGGCAGTCACCCGCAGCGTCGTCCTTCCCTTCAATTTGAAGCTGCCGCGCTCACGACGAGACACTGCTTGACTGCTGTCAGCTATGGCCTTGTGAACCTGCTCTTCCAGCTGCCTGACGCCGTTCTTCAAGCTCGGCTGCAGTGGCCAATGCCTCTCTCCAGCTGTCGTTGCGAGAGTACTCCAGGATGACGATGCCAACGGACTGCTCTGGCCTTTCCGAGCGCACCAGCGCGTCCAACGGCGCGTTCAGGTCAACAGCCTCCTGCTGGCGGCGACTCTCCGCCAGGGCCCAAATCAGCGCGAGGATCCCGCCAGAACCAGGAGGGTCCAGGGAGCGGCGCCGGGAGCGGCATCCAAGCCAGGTTGGACCTCTTGATCAGTTTAACTCCTTCCATTCGGATGGCCACACGATCATAGTTAGGCTTTGGATCCTTGCCCCGGACCACGCCCCTCCGTCCACTCAGCTGCTCTCCGCTGTCGCTTTCGAGGCTATGAATGACCACGCTGCAACCCTTTTGACAACTTGGGCAACCCCGGCTGACACTTCAGGGTGTCCAAGGTCTGCAAGAGTTCTCGAACAGAAGCAGGTGAGAACTTGCTATTTTCAAGCTGCTGCAGCAGACCGCGGGCAACACAAACTGCAGATTCGGAATGCCCTCCATCCTGAAGAGCTTGGCGCATAAAATGAAGCAAGCTGAAGGCAGCCTTCTCGTAGAAACTTGTCCGTAGGCATGCAGCCCACTGCTCAGCTGCATGGCTGAGCATACCTAACTTGTGGTATAGGTCGCCCAAGTTGTTCCGTGCGTCTTGCATAGTCCTGCGATCCTGAAAGGACCGTTCCTGGCCAGCCGCAAAGGACTCATACTCTTAGTCTTCTATCACTCTCAAGTACAGCTGCTCTGCGGCTTCAAGCTTGCCACATCTGCACTGCATATTAGCCAGGTTGTACGTTGCAGGCTGCCTTAGGCATCAGCTACCCAATACAACGATACAAGTCCTCTGCCAGCTGGGCCTCTCCACGATCTCGGTGCATAACGGCGAGATTGAAGTACGCATTGGCTACTCAGCAGCTGCTTTCTGGAATGTCCTCTCTGCCTGCTCCATCTCGCCAAGTGCCTTGTACACTTCACCCAGGTTGTTGTACGCCGGGCCCACATCGATGTCCATGTCGCTATATAGGCCCAAGGCTTTCCTATAAAACACGTTCCTATCCCCATGTGAAAGCATGTCGCCTTCTCTGCGCAAGCCCCGGCATGATTTGGCTCGATTTCCAGCACTTCATTCAATGCCTGGAAAAGCAATTCATGCGTTCCCTGCAATTTGCAAAATATCGCCTGTATGAAGACGGTCTCAACTGGCATCAGGTCCGGGGATTCTCTGCGACAAACTGGGCATGCTTCCGGCAAGCCAGAGCGCCACAGCTCGTTGACGCGTTCATGAAGAACGTGTCTGCAATGCGTCTGGCAGCCTAGCCCCGGAGTCTCCAAGCTGCCCAAGCAGCAGCACACTTCTGTCATGGCATGTATCGGACCTATCGCTGCGCCACGGGGTCCTGCGCCCTGCAGGCGAGAACATGCTCAATGCTCAAGCGGTCATGCAATTCCTTTTGATTCCTGGCACCGTCTGAGTCCCTGACTCCTGCCGGTCCAAACCCCTGCGAAGGACTCAGCCACGGCTGCAACGGCTGAGCAGCAACTTGAAAAATGGGTTTCAAACAAACAAGCAGGAAAACACCCATGAATCAAGTCGTTGCCCCGTCTGTAGATTTATGATGCATGGCCCCTTCTTGTCACTGCCGACATCTTTGCAGGAAGCTTGGGCCATGCAAGCACGCACATTTTCTGAACTGATGATCCCCGTTTGGACAGCCTGTGGGTTGCTGCATTGGTCTTCCATGCCATGGGCCAGCTGAGGGAGCAGCTCAGATGTGTCCTGGCTTAACTTAAAGCATGGCCACATGATTGAAGAGCTCACACAGTCAGACCATTGCCGGCTTGAATCCTTAAGTCACCCTTCCAATTGTCTCAACCTTGTGACAGTGTCATGCATGCGGCCCATGTTTGCGTCGGAGAGTGTCAAACTGCAAGCAGCTGGCACAAAACGCAGGCGGCCAATATGAACGACAACATCCTGACAGCTGGCCGCATGCATCATATTTGCCAAGCCTATCCGGCCCGCATGACTTGCGACTGCTGCAGCGAGCAAGCGCTTTGTTTCCCCAGCGCTCGAGCCAAGCAGTTCAAACGATCCTGCCATGCGCCATGCGCTCTAGAACGCACGTTCTGAGTCCGACCGGCGAGTGCCAAGCGGGCGCTATCAGGCCTCACTCGCAAATATCTCTTCCAGGTTGCTGACTCGAACAGCCATACCGGAAGCAGCACGGTGGCCGCCTCCTCCAAACTTCCTGAGGCTCTGAGCAGATTGTCCCCATGCTTCGCAGGTTGTCGGCTCACAAGTAAACCACTCATTTCTCCTCCCTGCCTAGCGATTTCAGACACGTCCGCCGCAGCCTCGTGCCTTGCTGGGATCAGCGGTTCTTAAGCAAGCAAGACAAAGCACCGTAAGCCCCGTCTCAAATTCAGTGCACCCCCCTAAATGGGTGATTTTCCACTGCTTTGCCGTTCGCCCACGCGCAGCTTCAGCCAAGCTACGACCCGAAGAGGCTCCGCAAGGAGATGGACCAGCTCCCTTCCTGGGGCTCTCATTGAAAAACCGGGTGATGTTTCCTACGTGCTAGTTGAAACATCACCTCGTGTCTGTCAATGTTGGAGTTGCTTTTTTGTGTTTTTTTTTTGGGGGGGGGACGATGTGGCCAGCCAGTGTTTTGCTGAGACGCCCTGTGTTTTCCTCTGAGAAGCCCAGTTGGAGGGGGGGAAACGCCCCGTCCATCTGCCGAGGCGCGCCAGGCTTGTTGCCTGGCAGGTACTTCACGCACATCACGAAGCTCACGCCCTCCTGCAAGCCTTGCCGGGGCGCCGACTCAGAAACTATGGCCCTTCTCCATCTGGCCATGGGTCGACAGCCAAATCGTACCCCCGGTGAACATCCCAATCCCCACAAAAAGAAAACTAAAATGGGTGGTGCACCTACCCCAAAATGGTACCATTCATTTGACCCACAGCTATCTTTGTCCGTCAGGCACAGCTAAGTCCGCGCAAACCACCGACGCAAGGACGCAACGAAAAGACGACGCACCTCGCTCGGCCAGCGCATTGCCTTAGCATCTCGCTCAGTTGAACCCGGGCGAATTCGACAGCTGGCACCGAGTCAAGATCTCAGGCCGGGCTTGTGCCACGATTGCTTCTGTCACCCTACGCACAAAAATACTCTCATGACGCACAGGCTAGCCTCGCTGCCAGCCCCAAAAAAATGACCAAACGTTCCCAATGCCAAACCTTGATTGAGCCACGGCCTTGAATCTCCCCACTATCCTCACCCTAGAGCCCCAACCCTAAGCCCCAACTGTCCTCGCCACAGAAACACTACAGGTGCCTTCGTTGATCCCCGGCAAACAATTGCTGCTATCGGTGAGTGGAAAGGCGTGTGATAGAGTGAGACAGTTGTTGCTTCGTCGAATGTAAGCAGAACATGTGGTTGCAGAAGGTGTGTTCACAAGTGACCCCAGGTTCAGCCCCCACACTTATAAGCATGTATTGTTTGCTCTTGCCTGGCTAAGTCACTAGGCAAAGCAAATGCAGGGCGTTGCTTGGATTCTCTTGATTCGAGTCGCCTTGATTCGCAACATGCGCACCGTCAAGCATGGCGGGAACTACTGCAAAGCCGGGTGGACGGCATTACTGGTTGAAAGTACAAGGATGGTGCCCACCAACGCTTTACCTGACACATCAGCGGAAACAACCGCAAACTCACTTCAAGCATCACACCAAAGCTCGCATGACAGGAACTTGCAAGCTTTGCCACCTCAACACTTACTTTCTCAAATGCTTTGCAACTTGCTTCAACGTGGCAAAAACAAATTGAGCATCTCAAACTGGTCTTCTGGTCCCTGAAAACCGGCCAGTGACTTGTCAGATCTGCCTGAGCTTCTTCAACGGTGTGCAACTCAGCACCGCGCCCAGCTCAGATGGCAAGACTGTCGCGTTCACCACGAAGGCCTTCTGGTCCTTGGCTCCAGCAACCGGCAAAACAAATCTATAAATCCGTGACATGCTCGTCGCGTTCCCAGCTCAGGGCCAAAGGTGCCACCGGGGCCCCTGCCGGCACAGCCTTCAAGCGACGCACCCGCGCGGACCGCGCCTGCGCCTGCGACAGCGCTCTCGCGTGTTCTCTTTGCCCAAACTCTATGCGGCAAGGAGAAATCCAGAAGAAGTAGGGAGGGGGGGCCATGCTTCCGCCTCACATCATCAAATTTGGCTTTACCTCCCGACGTGAACTGCCGGTGCCTGAACCAACGAATCCTGGTAAGCCACTATGCTGGTGCCCCGGCTCAGCATAGCCTCAGCAACGGCAGCATTTCGAGATGCCAAGCCTCTCCACCCTTCGGGCCGCTCTAAACCGGACCAGCACCGCCCCTGCTTCCCCTCCCCCACCTCGCAGGCTCCCCCCCTTCCCAGGCCCCATGGGCCCCGGGCGTCCAGCGCGCGCTCGCCGCCCTTGTGGAGTCGCAGCCAGGGCTCGAAGGCGGCCGCCGGGTTGGCCACCACCCCGGGCGCCGGGATCGGCAGCTCCAGCTCCTGGGCGGGGAAGGCATGCAGGTGAGGCGGAAGCAGGAGGATTCGTTCGGCGCAATGGGACAACTCCTTTGGCTTCCCTTCTGAAACGACCTGAAGAAGGTGACCTACTCCAAGAAAGGCACACCCACGTTAGAAGCTTCGATACATCAACTCACCGGTGGCTCGCGTGTGCAAGCCCCCTGCTCGTCCAAAACACAAAGTCGATGGCCAACCGCCCTATCAACATGCCCCGCTGCCAGCGTGGGCCATCCGAAGCAGGAACCTCTCCAGCGTATGAGATATCTCGGAATGGGGCACAACGAAGGGTCACATCACGCCAGATTCTGCGCCATTCATCATCCTTCAAGTTGCAACAAAGCTACAATGATTCCAACGAGGGCGCACCCCCGCTGCTCGAGGGCGCACCCCACGCTGCTGTCTTCAGCCCCTAAAGAAAGCCTCTAAACCGCGCCTGGGCAGCCGAGAACTCTTTTGAGCGCTTCATTGCCCAGCGCCAAATATCCTGCGGTCCGGCCGGAAAGGAAACAAACATTCGGGAAAAGAATCGCAGCCCCTCTAGCCCCTAAAGTCTCAGAACCTTCATTCTCTTGAAACACCTTTCGGGAGGAATATCTCATGAAGCATGATAGGCGGGTCCGAACGTTTCATGAAGCATGCAGCCCTGGCTTCAACTGTTCCTGAAAGCTTCCGCAAGCCACGCGCCTTCCCAGCAAAAGGTGACATCTTGTTCCCTGGCCTTATCCTCAATGTAGCGGAAGAGCAAGGGACAGTTCTTCCTGGTGAACTGCCCGTGGAAGAAGTCCCAGGCCAGCGTCGCCTGGGCTGCTCCCCTACCACCTGCCCTTGGCTCCTGGATGCTTTGCTTCCACCAGCCGGTTCTCGCCAGTTGCGCGCGCTCATTGTCAAGTTTGAATCTTTACTTTCGGCACGGACCAGAGGCCGAACCCACCAACGTTCTGCCTGACAAAGCCTTGAAGCTTCATCCGTGTCAGCTGAAGCCAGACATGCTACGCCTTGCCTCAACAAGGCTTCGTGCATGAGCGAAGATGCAGCCGAGCGGCCCCGGACATTTTCATCTCAAAGACCTAGCGCTGCGACTTGGGTCCGTGAAGGGTTTTCATGGACGCCACGGGGGCGCATGCCCAAAGTCTGCCAACGGTTGCGCCGCGCAATGCGAGGGCCTGGTGCCCGCCGGGCCTTGTTTTCCGCTGGGAAGGGCCGCAACGTCTCCTCGGCGCTGGCGTGGTGGTCCAGCACGATGACACCCTGCGATAAGCCAAATGGAAAACAGGTGCCATCCACTGTGCAACCATCTGATGTGTTCTAAACTTGAGAGTGCCCAAGACATGTCTTTTTCTTCTGTTGGCCCCCCCTGAAACCAACCTGAGAATGGCACCCAAGGACAGCAAACAGACGCACAAAGAAACAGATCTGCCTTGGCTCTTCTTCGCAACTCCTCCATGGTTTGTGCATCCTGAGCATTGCCGCACATTGGCGTGTGCTAGGGCACAAGCTCACCAAACGAGCCGCGAAGGAAAAGTCCAAAATGGCCACCGTCTTGTCGTCGACGTTCTCCGGCAGCTTCTTAAAACCTGAGCCAGGCTCGTGAGGACTGGAGAAATCACTGGTACTTGGGCGGACGCCTCCAAACGTTGAACTTGTACCAAAAGAAAGCACTGCGCCCCCCCCCAATCGTGAAACACTCACTGAAATCCAAGCCCCAGTCTGCTTCACACAGTAGGCCACGCTGCCGACCCCACTCCAACAAACCGAGTGCCATGTTGCAAAATGTGAATCAGCTTGGTTAGAAACCAAGGGTCGCAATCAAAAGTGCAGAAAAGGCACACATACTCTTGGTTGGGTCTGTTCCTGGAAGAAAATGCCCTAAATCCATCTTAGCCCGATTTGACCTAAACAAAGCCCAAGCCATGCAGAACTCGAGCCGAAGTCTCGAGTCCGTCACATGCCTCACGCCAGGGTACCATGGCCGATGCCAACATACTCACAAGCAGTGCCGCGCTTGAGGTAAGCCTTAGCTCCCGACGCACGAACAGCCAACCCACAGCCCTTGGCCTTTGGCCTGAGATGCTTATAACCCCAGAAAGGACTATACAGACCTGACTGCCACATATTTTATTGTCTTGTTTATCTATTTGTTAAAAAGAAGAAAAACAACATAGAACCAGTCAAGCTGGGGAAGCCGGCGGGGAAGTTTGAACACTTTCAGTACATGTTGAGTGCCGATGCAACGCTCAGCTAGCTCGGCGGCGAATTTATCAGCTTGCAGAAGGCACACTGTTCTACCCCATCCTCATTCCCCAACTCTCGCTTGCTCCCACGCTTGCGCCCTTCCACGCGCAACACAATGTTTTTTTTGGGTCAAAATGCACACAGCTCACCTGCTTCCAGCACCGCGGCAGTTCCTAAAGTCGGCATGCCTCGGTAAGGCCGGGCAGCAGCGAATGCAGCTGCGAAGCCATCCGGGCAGCCCCCGTGGAAGATGACCTGACGGACGGGGCGTCCCAGTTTTCGGAGACCCTTTTGTTGAGGAGGGTTTGCATGGAGGGGAAAAAATGGCGGAAGCCAATAACTTGTGGCCCCCTGCTCGTGCCCACCACCCAAATGCGTAAAAATTGGCACTTGATGACATGCAGTGTCATACCCGGTCCGAGGCGCCGGCCATGTCCACGTCGCTTGCCTGCACCGCCTTCTTCTCTAGTGGCAAGCTGGAGAGCAGCGTGGATTCTCTTCCGGGGATGACCCCGACCTCAACCGCCAGGCACTCCGAGTCAGGGGTGCCCTCTTGGAAAACAGAGGCGGGGGCCGCTTCGCAAAACGTCCAAACATAGCTCAGCGTAAACATCCCTCTGAGAGTCTCTCTTTCGTTTCCGCGAGCCCATGGAACAAAAAAGACAGCCAGCTCTGAGCTATGAGCGTCATAGCTGCCCCACAGGCTCCAGCCTTGAGCGTTCAGGGTGACCCCCTAAAGGGACATTAACATAATTATAGGCATGGTCGAAATTACTTACTTGCGGCCGTTTCGCTACTTAGTTTGAGAGTCCCCTATCGTTTTCCAGCGTTTCCATCCTCTTCCAGGGGTATCGTTTTTTGAGTCCCCTATCGTTTGCCATGGTTTTGTGCATCTTCACAATATCAATGAAACACCGAATGCTAAACTCAACAGAAGTAATTTTGACGGTACTTCGTATATATATATATATATACATGTTTGATACGTACGTGTGTGTATGGGTATCCCGAGGTAGGCTCCAAGTGCTGAATCCTCTCAATTCCAATCTTTGACAACTGGCACCCCAATCTGAATGCGGAGCACCTGGCCTACCTCTCTTTCTCTTTTCGGGGGTATCTCCCATGGCGCACCCATGGCGCTTTTAACAGACAGCTGGAAAAGGGCAACACCATGGAGCTGCACCGAGGAAAACACCGCTATGGCATCTTCCTCGTGGTATCTGATCACGGGGATTCCGTTCTGCAACATCAACCACCAGCCTTCTATTCACGGGAAAGTGTCCATCCCTTCTTACATCCCCAGGGCCAAGTCGGCTCGGGATCTGATTTAGACAGTGGAGAGATGGTGAAAAAGCACATCTGAAACCAACCGGGCATGTATTAAACAAGATGTGGAGACAGGCTCTTTTGACTCTTAGCACTCCTTGTTCTTCGCCTGTGGCGACGCCCTACCTGCGGCCCCGGGCAGTGCGACTCCTTCCGCCGCTCCGACGCCGCCAGCGCCACGCAGCTCCAGGCGGCGGCGTGGCCTTGCAGACGTTGGGGTAGGGGGTGTCTTCCCCCTGGTGCTGAGGGGATGAAGGTTGATGAGATGGGTTCTGTCAGGTTCAAAGCCATTGGTTCGCCCGAAGTGGAAAGAAGAGAAACACCTTGCCGCCCAGACACGGCCATGCACGTGGAGCGTTCGGAGCACCCGGAAGCCACGCCTCGGGAAGCGTGCCATGCTCAAGATTGGCAATCCCAAATTGGCCGAGTCGCATGTTGACTCCTGGGCAGTGCTCGGGAGACAACCCGTACACCCCGCGCTGCCGAATATGAGACAATGCCGTTCTGCTTGGTCGCGATGCTTGTCTCGTTTAAAGGCAACTCAGCCTACCTGCAAGAATGGAATGCACCCAGCACTGCCTGATGCGTGCCAAAAGCTGACTCCAAGTCCTGCTACAGGGGCCCGGGAGTCGCGCAGCATTTTTCCACGAGATGCAGCTAGTCGGCTTAGCCGGTGCCGGTCATGGGACCCAGCAAAGTCCCGTAAGGCCAGGGTTTTTCGACATGGCAGGGAAGACACTTCGATAGATGGGAGTTGTAACGCTACCACTTGGACTCGATTTTGCCACAATCGAAGCACGCGAAACTTCAGAATTTCCACCACTGCTGTACACTGGACAGTGGCACTCAGAACTATCGAGAGACTGGCCGGCTGGGGCAAGCCCCCTAAGACTTGGGACTTTGCTCCTTTGGAACCTGCAGGCGGCAAATGATGCGCCATTGCTCTGAGGAAATTCCAAGGCACAACTGTTTGCAACGCCGTCCTCCTCCACTGTCTCCTTCTCACTCCTCCGTCGCAAGCTGCTTTCTTGGACTGCCTGGCAATGCGCACCCCCGAGCGATTCGGCGACTCGTGCTCGACGAGTCTGCCTGCCGACTTCACCTCGCCACTTCCATCTGCAGGCCGCAGAATGATGAGCTCCGACCCGCCAACATCCTCGGCCACAGGAAACATACGCCAGGCATCGGCAATGCGCCAAGGCATCGACAACGTGCGTGAAGCAAATGGAGTGAACGTCTGCCCGACTCAGTTGACTCCCGAGCCTCCCTCAGATACCCCGACTGATGCCCACACATGAGCAATGGACAGTACCTGCTCCTTCGTTCGGGTTTCCCCTGCGAGACGGGAGATGGGCCCTGGGCTCTCCAACGAAAACACGCCTCAACCCCCCGCGCTCGCAAGCCAATTGCGCCGGGCTGAGCCCCACTCCGCCCACTCCAGCGTCTCAGCCTTGTCCGGGGGGTTCAGCTGGGGGTAGCGCTCCGCGAAGTCCCGCCAGCCCAGCAACACACCGCCGCAGGTCTGGAAGACCCTGTCATGCATCTCGTAGAACGAGAGATCTTCGATCCTCAGCACACTGATCCTTGATCTTTGTCTCTCCCTCAAATGTGCCTCTTTGCTTCTCCCCCCCCAAAAAAATGCTATGCGTGCTGCCTACCAGTCTAACAAGCCCAGCAATTGCCAAGAGTGTGGATGCCAACGCGTCCCAAGAGGCCCATCGATGTAATGGCTCACCGGCGCAGTTGTCACGAAGCCGGCGTCGCAGCGTGCGTCGGATAACTGCTCAAAGAGGTTATACACCTCGCCTGGGTGCCACGTGTGTATGCATGGTAAGCCTTCAAAAAGGCTTAGGGCATGTGGACTGAAGTGCAGGTCGACCGTCCAGCCATCCCTCTCTAGTGCCCTCTTACTAGCTGTCCCGGCCACATTCCTGCAACTATGGCAGCCTAGCTCCATGGTCAAGCCTGCCTGGGCCCATGCCCGAATGACTGCAGCCGCCAGCATCTAACATCTCGCCGCAGCTGGCAGCACAAGCCAAGATGCGTTGCTCGACTGCCAGGGCGTAAATGGCTGTCTCCCTAGCATTGGTGTAGACATAGGAGCCCTGGCTCCTAGATCAGGGCTGCTCGCTGTATGCAAAGCTAGCCTAGGCAACTACTGTCATGCACATCATGATCAACCGGCCACGATGGCAACGCCGTTTCGGACACGGGCGCCTCACCCCAGCATTGCTAGCCAGCACGGTCTCCTCGGCACAGCGCTGCGCTGCATGGCACATGTTCGAAAGCAGCATGGGGCAACGCAGCGGACCTCAATGCCGCCCGGGACTCGCTCTTTGGGTCCAAAAGCTCGGTCACCAACTTGCACTTCTGCCGGTTGCCTCGCACAACCTTAGTGCAAGCAAACTTTGAAGCCACGGGCATCCCAAAAAACAAGCTCCGCCCAATGCACGCAATCCACCGTCGCCTTCATCCGCGCCCCGTTTTTTCGCCCGGCTTGACCACTCTGTGAGGTGCCAAGCTGCGGTGCTGTCTTTGGAGGCGGTGGTATACGTCCGCGTGATGCTCCGTGAGGGAGTGCCTGGCCCTAGCCCCCCGACAGTGGTGAGGTTCTGCTTCAGCAGGATCGCCTGGAATTGATCTCTCGCGGCACCGGAGTCATCGGTGACTGTCTCGCTGGATTGTGAAAAAGGTGCGTCCCAAGAAAGGGGGCCCGAACATGGAGATGCCCACGCTCGTGACAAGAGTAGTTGCTTGCCTGCCTGCCTGTTAACAGAATATTTTGTAGTTTCATAGTTGGCGTTTTGATGACAGGCGCGCGCAAGGTTATGGCTTATAGTTGGTCCATGGTTGAACTACGTTGCAGCGCGGCATCTTCCCAAACCTTCGAGGGATGCTAAAAGGCAAGCACCGTGAAACTGCTGCCATTCTTTTCACAAATGGTTCCTTGTGTGTGTGAGTGGAAGGATTGGACGTTTGGCGGGCGTTCTTACTTTGAAACTCGTTCAGTGGTTTAGCGCAGTTCTGCCACAAAAAAATTGAATTCTCGGATTTGAATTTTGCCTGCTGTGTTTGTTGAGATCGTTTTGTTCTTTTTGGGGTGTGGTTGAGATTGTGCCGTTTTCACGGATTCTTCCCCCTTGCGGAAGCTACGGAGTCAGCTTCGCATGTTTTGGGCACCATGCCCTCAACGCATCCCCCCTGAATCGGCCCTCTTCAATTGGTGATTGATAGCACTTCAGCATTTGACTGAACATGTGTGCTTTGTTGAATAATTTCGAGGAGCCATGCGTGACATCCCATTGTGCGAGCCCAGATGTGATCCTTAACTGTGAAACTTGCTTTGCAGGCGCGGATCCGCCTGTTTTTGGGCGAAGCTCATTCTATCCCCTTCTCCCGCAACACCCGGCCCGCCGTAGTGAGGTTCCGGGAGTCGATTGCCAGGGTGGACTCGTCCTCGCTCAAGCGCTCCGCCAGGATCAGGGCGCAGGTGGCCGTCTCCAGCCTCGCGAATCGTCCAAAGGTGGGGTTCATGCATCGAAAGGCATCGAGCCAGCCCAAAGAAGCTCGCGAGTCCCAAAGAATGGAAATAAGCAGGGCGGCACCGAATTCTGGCGACAGGATGTCTCCACGACGGACAGCCTCCAAAACACTTGATAGTTTCAAATACTTGGCACTCTTGTGGTCGAATTGAAGCACCACAGCAAAGGATACCTCCCGTCTAACCCAAGGGAAGTCCTAGACTTGTCTTGGAACATCCGGGAAGAATCCGTGAAAGCGGAATCCCCACATCCCGGCAAAGCCAAAAGACCTAAGAACAAACATCAATCCCCTCAAGTATCCCAAACCCCACCAAACCTTTAGTCCGTGAGAATCTAACTTGCATCAATCAACCCACATCCCAAACTGCAAGTAAACCACTCGAATCCCAAACCGCCATGGCGGGACATGCTGCCCGCGGCTGGCCGGCCCGTGCAAGTCAAATCTGAGCGGCGGGAGCTTCATCATTTCCCACTTGCTGGTGCTCTCGCCCTCGTACTGGTGCACAGTGATGCGCGCAAAGGCCGCCCGCCCCGCATTCCGCCTCAGCCCGAATCATGCATTTGACGACCTCCTCCATCAGCTTTCTGACCATACGTCAGATTGGGCAAGTTCGTCTATTCCCCCAACAAAAGTGGAGGCTTCCCTCTTAATTCCCTTGAAAACTAACCAAAGGCACCCGCGAAACGGAGACTCTTAAATAGACTCGGCAAGCTCATCCCCGCAAAAGCGCGCACACACACACACACACATCCGAGGATCAAATGCTGTTGGATGAGCTGTTCGCGCTCTGCAGCTGGCGTCCTCACTGACACGGCACGGTCTCTCCCCACCGACAGCCAATGATTCTACGAAGCAACGCGCTGGAGATGATTCGTGTCGGAAAGTCCTAGACAGGATGTGCACCGCGCTTCCAGCCGCCAGAAGAACATCCTCGGCATCTTTTTTGTTAAGTGGCCTCTGCGAGCCTAACTTGAAAGATCTGAGCAACACTCATCAGCATGCCCAACAAATATCCACAACCCACCTGTTTCAGAAGGCCCATTGTGCCACACTTGGAATCAGTTTCACTTTCTTCCATGGGTTGGCCTTAATCAAGGCAGCCTCGCGCCTCGCACCCAAATCATCGGGGACACACATGATTCAACATGGCCATGTGGATTTTCCCAAGGAGCCATGATGTCCAAGATCTCCGCGACGTCGCTGGGGCAGCCCAGCCTGGGGTTCTGCAGTCTCATCCCATTTTTTCGTTCAGGACCCCAAGCCGGAACTTCAAGCTTCGACTCGAGACAGGCCGCAAGAGCACCACCTTTGCACCATCCGCAGCAGGGCCAAGTCGGAGCTGGCCGTCTTCCATGACCTGCGAAAACGGGCGAAGAGCGTGGCATACGAATCACACGCCAATTGATTTGGCCATGCGTACCCCCAGTGAACATCCCAATCCCCACCAAGATAGACTAAAATGAGTCCTACCCCAAAATGGCACCATTGGTTTTGACCCACAGCCATTTGGCTCTCGCCTCAGTGCTCGACATTGCCACTCAGAATTCCTTTTCTTAGCCACTCCCCCACCCACACCCCACCATAGGCTCCGCAGTGCATACGCTGCCGCATGGCTCCGCTTTGCACTCGTAGGCAATCGGCCGACGTGCCCGCAAACACCGCCTCACGTGCCACAAGCGTCACGCCGAAACCTGCAAACCACCACACACTTCCACACCAGAGCCTCCAACAATCAAGCGTCAAGCCTTCGGCCGTTGCCCAGTCGTGCGGCCCAGCCACTGCGCGTCCTCGGCGCCTCGCGCGATCAGCACCAGGGTGTCGGTGGCCTGCTCCAAAATTAGCAGGGGCTTTTCTCGGGGGTGACCGATGCGAGGAAGAACGATGTGCCCCAAAACAAGTGACAGCCCTACGAGGTTGCGAGGCTCACTCCCAGGCGGACGCAAGCCGTGCATAGAGGCATAGCCAGGTGGAACTTAGCTGGATCGCCAGTTGCGATCGCTTTTTTCCATCCACGTTACCCCAAAAACCAGCAACAGTGACTGACAAAAAGCAGCAACTTGGCTATCTAGGTATGTGCATAGCCAGGCGGAACTTATGTTGCTGACCCGTTTCGGCCTCGATGCGGTAGCTGCCGTGCGGCACAAGCGCCTGGTGCCCTGCTCGCTGCACGCCGCCTCGGATGGATTCGGAGATTCGGATCGGCGAACAGGTACGCAGTGGCAGGGAGCTGAGCCAAGCCGCAAACCACCGCGTCGGGGAAAAAGCGGCACAGCTCCTGAGAGAACATACCACGTCCGAATTTGACCAGTGCACGGTGCGACCGAAACCAACTCCGACCCCGAAATGCGGCCTGGTCTCTTTGAAAGACACGCCACAAACGAGGGAAGGAGCTGGCAGAACGTGGAGGTTCGCGTCGCCCTTGAGAGTGGTCAAGCTTAGGTACCTTGGGCTCCATTTGAAACAAGGGGAGCCATAGCAATAAAGACACATCCAGCCAGGGTTCACGTAGCCTGCTGATGGCACGAGAGCGCGCAGAACCTCGGCATGCAAAGAGGCCACGTCTGCCACGCCTGCCATTCACTCAGTGCGCGACCATCATGCGATTCACCAGCTTCCGCGCCACCTGGTCGCAATGTGAGCCACAAAATTCATGGCAGACTCGCGTCGCAATCAACCCCAAAAGCCCGGAGAAAGTCGCACCTGTCGGAAAACCCTCCACAGGTCAACATGCCGAGGCCTGTCTGAGGCTGGCACGATGGTGCGCGCCTGCGGTAGGATGGTGTTGACTGCCCGGATGCTTTGCTCCTGGCACACCTCCTCAGGAAACTGAGATGTTCTATTTTTCACATCCACAGTTTGAACCATGACCAACTCATACGAAGGAAATGATGCGGACAAGAGCAATTTTCTCCAACCGGGCATGTGAGACAAGGTCTGGAATAACTCTTTGATTGCGCGTTCCTCTACAGAGCCGCCATGAGCATGGATCCTGGAAGACAACAGTACCCACTAAAAGTTGCGTTTCTTTTTGGAATTCCACTGACAACTTCCCCCATGAGTCTGACAGTCTGCCTCCATTTTGCTGATGCCAGGGCAGCAACTGAAGAGCCAAGGCGCGACCCAGACCTCCCCGGTCAGCGGCGAGTCTGAGGGCATTGCCGCCACGGCCAGCCTGAGCCCCCACAAACTGTCCTGGAAGACCATTTCCTTGTAAAGGGACCCAGGGTATCCATGCGAACCTTGGAAAGAAGAATGACATATGTTGGTGGGCCCCGTTGTCCTCACGCCTGCAACCCCCAGCTGTTCTTAGCCCCGGGCAGCGCGGAGATGGCCTTGAGGTCGGAGCGGGGCCCGTTCTCCGAGGTGGAGGACACCAGGATGTCCCGGGCGTAGGGCGCGCTCACGCGCAGCAGCTCCGTGACGTCCGTGGGGCTGCCCTCCCGGAAGCCTCGGGCGCTGCGGCCGTGCGTGCGGCGCGGTCCGGGGCTTTCGGCGGTTTCGGCGCTCGGGAACGTGCGGCGGAAGCGGCGCACCACGGGGAAGAAGAGCGAGGTGATCCACTGGAGGAGCGGGTCGGTCATGCAATGCACTTGAACCTCGAAAAGGGCCACACATCCAAATCCCCAACGCCAAAGCAGAAAAAAAGTCGAAACGCTCCTCGTCTGCCATCTGCTGCGTTGGCATGTTTGCGAGTATCACGATTTGGCGCCTTGGACCCGGAATCAGCGCGACACAATGGACTAAACAGCGGCCAACTAGACACCACCACCTCGGAACCTGCCAAAGGCACCGCTTGCAGCAGCCACACCGGCCACGCTTGGTTTGCGCCATGGACGTCAGCCTCAGGTGAAGCTAACGTCTGCATTGGTCAATGACTGCCCTTTCACCAGGAACTTTAGTGGGGTTCTTAAGTGGTTCATTGCTTTAAGGATCATTCGACTTCTGGAGGCCACCGAAGGCAGAGGCAAATGCTCGCGCGTCCATCCAGGCCACAACTCATCCACCAACAGCAGCGTCTTGTCGCCCCAGCCCAGGATCAACCAGTGCCCCTGCGCTGGCACGCTGCTATACCGCAACCGGCAGTCCTCGGAAAGTCTCAAGCCGACGAACGCTTTCGGCGCTTTCAGCGCTCCGGCAAAGGCCCCTCAAGGCAAGCGTCGTCCAGCACCTCCCGGATGAGGTCCACAACCATACCCAGAAGCGTGAGACAGTAGACGAAGCCAACCTTGCAGTGTTCAAAGACTCTGTCAACACCTTTCTGCAGTTGGCATGGCACGCATGCAACCATTCAAGGCAACGAGGCCAAGTGGCTAACGATATGACCTCAGCTGTGAGCGCCCAAGGCGCGGGCGGCAAATGGCACGGGCCGCCGATTTCCCAGAAATAACGGTGTTCTTGGGATGATCTTGGCCGCCCGTGGCCCCGAAACGCCGCTGAAAGCAGGCAAGTGGTAGCACTGAGCCTTTGGCAACGCTCACGATCTTGATGGTAGGGCGCTCATGTGCAGCAAAGCCCGTCTGAGTGCCGATGTCAATCAGCAAAGTGTAGCCTTGCCAGGTTGGGATGGACACATTTTTGCTCTGTGACTAGATCAGCCGCGCGGCTGATCCACCAACTGTCATTCAAGGTGGTGCTGAACTCATCGTTTCCGCCCGAAAGCAGCCACAGGACCTCTGGGGGCCATGCAAATAACACCGGGGCTTCTTCCACTGACCGCACGCCAGACATCACAGCAAGTATGACTTGATTCCCTGCATGCCGCAGCGTGCAGATTGCCAGCTAGGCATGTGTCAAAATAGGCCCCCGCGTTTTCTTTTGGCTTCCCCTTTGCCCGAAAGCCCCAAAACAGTACACCCACACACACACAGCTCAAAAAATATGATTGGCGAGCAAGACACAGTGCCGCTGCACTGCAGGCACAAGAAAAGGCTCAGCACCAGAATCCACTGGCCGAAGGTGGTGCCGATGACCTCAATGACAGGACCGCCATCCAAAACATGAGGGCACGCCTTTTAGGTGATGCTAGCCATGCATGGCGGCAAAGGCGGCCTTTCTCCTATGCCTTGAGTGGCACATAGGCAGTACGCCCTTTCTCCATCCCTTTGAACAAAAAACTCACAACCCCAAATAGAAGCAGGACGGCTCAGCGTCGCAGGGCCCGCGCATGGTGCAGCTTGGCCTTCCTGGGGCTGCGTCTGACGTTTCGGGGTTCCCCACAGTTGTCCCTGTGAAGACACCCCAAGGAGACTCTCCATTCCCAACGCCCAAAAAGAGACAGTGAGAGAGAGAGAGAGAGAGAGAGAGAGAGAGAGAGAGAAAGAAAGACAACGATGGCCGACAGTTCACCCCAAAGAGATTCTCCAACATTCGGACCGACCAAAAAGAGAAAGAATGACTTGTGAGGGCCGTACGGCACATCAAGGACTGGCCCCGCTTTTGGGCGCACGCCTGGGGGGGCGGGGAAGGAGTAAAAAAGATAGCTCTGGGAGATCTACTCGAGAGCTGACGGGGTTGTTCCAGCAGCCACGAGTTCATGGGCGATGTGCGTGCACGCCCCTCCCACATCCTGTCCTCTTCAGCCCTGCCAGGTGCACAAGCGACATTCGGTGCCGGGGCGCGGGCTTTGGCCAAAGCCGCAAATGCCGCGAACAGCAGGCGGGTCAGAAGGCGCACATCATGTCGCTGCTCACCCAAAGCTGGCGCGCATTTCTTGGCTTTTCTCGCTGGCAACGCCTGTCAGGCCGCTGGTTTCCTCAATGAGCTCTTGCGCTTCATCCCTGCACAAGGCCCTTTGATGAACCAAAGAAATTGGAGCCAGCCGGTCTTTGTACATGCGGAAGGCGGCTATACGCAAATGGAACGAATTCGGGGGGGGAGGGGCTGCAAGGCCCACGGAAGCTGTTGTCACATCCGGGCCCACTGGTTCTACCGAGCGGCCGCACAAGCAAGGATCAACCGAGCAGCGCCCACAATGTGTACCAGCATGGCTTCACTGACTTACTTAGACCTTAACAGAACCTGTGGGTAGGATCAGCTACTAAAGTGGCCAAAGGAAACTTTAGTAATTTAGGCGTTGCTCAGCTGGCGTCCCCGTCTGCGTCTCAAATGAAGCGGCACCAGAGGAAAGGCATGGCTGGCGCTTCCGCCTGGCAGGAACTCATGCTGCGCCAAGTCCTGGCCTGCCACCTGGTGTCTCGTCAAACTCGAAGCCCTGACAAGGGCGATGTCCTTTTTAGCTTCCCTCTCAACACTGTCCAACACCTTGTCCCACTGCAGCACGGTAGGACATACCCACTTCATGCCGCGCTGTGTCAAAACTGTCAAAACCCATCGCCGGTCCTTCTGCACCTTTGCACCCGGCTCACCGCCTAAGCAGATGCAAAGAGAAAAGCAAAAAGCAGAGGCAACCAACTGCTGCTCGGGCTGACAAAAGCTGGGCATCTGACCCGCACGTGCTGAGCACCTGCCGTGGTGGACACACACGACAATGCTAAACTCATATGCATTTACATGTGTGCATATACATACATGTGATAGGAATGTCTGCAGGTGCCATCATATATGTCAGCTGCAGGTGATCATGGGCATTGCCTTGCCAGGTAGATGCGGTAGATGTTTTTTGTCTTCCCCATTCATCCCTTTCGTGCGGGGATTCCAACTCCGAGCCTCTTCCGCTTCGCTGCATCCGGCTTCGCGGGGCTCAGCGGGTCTCGGCCCTTGCGGCGCCGCTTCCCCAGCTCGGGGTTGGCATCTGCTTGAGGTTCCACTCGTTGCACTCCAGCGAAGGCTTCAGGACTTGTCTGGGAAGACCAAGCCTGCAAAGTGCCCGGACTCGGCTGAACTTGGGAATTCGGATGCGGCCGTTGAATCGCAAAGCGCGGCTGAGGCTGAATCTGATTTGCTTGCTGCCGTGGCCGCTGCAGTTTTGACTGCTGCGGCTGCAGAGGATTCTGATTCACGAAAGGCTGCTGCGGAATCTGATTCACATGTGGCTGTTGGTGTTGCAGCTGCTGCGGAATCCGACTCGCGCGCGGCTGTTGCGCCTGCTGCGGGTTTTGCGGAATATGGTTCGTACGCAGCTGTTGCTGCTGTGGCTGCTGCGCAATCTGGTTCGCATACGGCTGCTGCGGCTGCAAAGGAATCTGATTCACGTGCGGCTGCGGCTGCTGCGCAATCTGGTTTTCACGTGGCTGTTGCTGTGGCAACGGTTGGTGCGGAATCCGATTCACATGCTGTGGCTGTGGCTGCAGAGGAATCTGGCTCGCATGCGCTTGCTTCGCACGCAGCCCAGGCTGAATCTGAGGATTCCAGAGCGGCTGTGCCGGCGGAGGCTTCGGAATTTGAGGCTGCACTGCTGCTTTCGCCAGAGCGTTTTCTGGGCACTGTGCGCCATTGCTTTCCATCTCATGCGAGTCCTCGCCTTGCTCTACCTCAATTTCACGTGGAGTCACAGCGTCAACACAATGAAATACGCGTGCCTATAAATCAAGAGGCAACCCTAAAAACACTGTCTTGGAGGAATCCCCATTACAGGTGCCATGTGCATTTGAAACCGGGTCAATCGCCAAGATACCTCTGGCTGGAAGTCTTGGCCGTCTGTTTGGCTCACAACATGGACGCTGAGCCTCGGCTCTTGGCATTGATTCCGACCACAGCACACTTCTTGGGGGCCCGGGTCCATTTTCGAGGGTTTTTTTGGTTGTTTCGCGACCTCCTGACATGCGCGTTGCATACTACTCACAAGTCAGCTGTTGCAGCGTCTTGCTAGCGGCCTTTCTTCTCAGATAGCGGCATTTCGGGGGCATGGTGGTCATACAAAGAATAAGAGAATGAGATGTCATGCGCGCTCCCCTTGAAAGAACATTTTTTCCGCAAGATCCGCAAGTTCCGTAAGCTCCACACCCCAAAAAATGGAAAAAACAACACCCCCCAACCCCCCCCACCTCACCCCACCCACTCCCCCCCCCCCCAAACCTTCCCCCGGCACCCGCCAGGGCGCAGCGCCTTGGACAGCTCCGGCGCCTCGAGGCACGCCACCGGAGGCACCGCCGCTGGCGGCAGTTGGGCGCCGAAGGGCGAGGCATCGGCGAGGCTCGGCAGCGGCACGCCCTGGGCGTAGCCCTGGGCGTGAATCGAAGCAACCGGATCAAAGGAGAGACGGCTGGTGAAATGCGCGGCAGACTTCGGAACGCGGATCCAAAACTTGAGGGCAACAGAAAACACAACCAATGAAATTTCAATCAGAAGCAAACGAAGGAATCGAAGCAGATCAACCGCTGGCCTCGTGGAGCCAGGATGTCCCCCCATTGCATGCCCAGCCTCCAGGGCAAAGACCCTTCTCAGCTCATCCCAGGACAACCTGACAGGGGTCTTCGGGCCTCGGCCCTGCGTGAGATGCTTTTGCTTGAGGAGATACCATTTATAAGGGTTCAAAGTGGAAAGGCAAGCTGAAGCCCATTTGCAGATTCATCCGGTAACCCACTTTCCCTCGCTCGGCCTGGGAGTGGTCCCGTCCAAGTCTTGCCCATCCACGGTGATGTCAGCCAGGTCCTTTGTCCAACGCAGCGGGGTCTAGCAGATTCGCATCCTCCCCCACTTGTGGCCGGTTAAGTGATTCAAAGGTTTAAGAACTTGATAGCCATCAAGTTTTGCCCTCACCGCCTCGCAGGTTCCGGGAAAACAAACATCGAAGGCTTTGCTAGGTCTGCCCCCTGCTTTGACGCCAAGAGGCTGTCTTCACCTGTTGCCGCTGGCAAATCTTCTCCTTGCTTGTCCGGACCCAAAAAAAAGAAACGACGAAGCGCCAGGGTCAAAACCAAACCAAGCTATTCAACTGAGCACCCGAAACCCACCAGCTTGGCTATGGAAGGTTTATTAGGCCAGTTACTAGGCCTTCACTGAAGCCCTGATCAGCCATGGCATCATGGACCTTGCCAAAGTTTCCAACAGGGGTGTTGGAAGCCAAGCGAGGCGGGCGAGGTCAATCAAATCTTTGGCAGCGGCGACCTATGGCTTGGTGCTTCGTCAGGCAGGACTGGCAGCTGCATTTTGCAGGTCTGGCAGAACCCGCCCGGTATGCAAGAAAAAAATACTGGATGAGGTCGGCTGGCTGTACACAAAGGGCTGACTTGCTACTGCATCCCTCCATGGGTTGCAATGTCCGCAAGCCAAGAAAGACATCAAAGACGTCAAAGACAAGTAATGTTACGGCGCTTCCGCGCTGTGGAAGATCCAGAAGCGCCGCACAGAATTCTGACTGCCAGACAACGGCATATTAAGGGCACAGGACGTGCATGGTCGATGCAAAAAGGTTGGGGTGGGCTTGCGCAATTCGCACAAAGCCATCCGCCATTCGCGACATGCAGCTTGGGCCACTTTCATACGTGCCTTCTCAATAACCCTTCAAAACAGGTGCTGGTGTTTCAAGCCTCACAGTAGGCTAGGCGGTTCAGCTCACCGTGGCCAAGCTGGCGCATGTCGAAAAACGCAGCTCGAACGCTGCGTCTTGGCACTGCCGCGCCCTCTTCATGCACTGAACCGTGGACTCTCCAAGTACACGGTCTGTACGACGGGCTGCCGGCTTGCCGGTGAGACCCGGGCAGTTGCTGCGACGGGACCACTCCTCTCCCTCACCATGTACGGGTAAGGCGGGTAAGGGAAGCTCCCAAGACCTGGATGACCCGGGCTGTGGTAGCCTGGAACAGGTCCAATTAGTCCAATCCCTCCGTTGGGAAACGCGTGAGTGCGAGGCTCCCAAGGCGTGTCCACACGGAGGAAACGCGTGCTGGAAAGGCTGTCATTCAAAGCGCCGCTGCTTACTGGCAGTCGCAAAGGGGGGACAGTCGGTGACTTGCTCGTTCCGCTTGGCGGAGAGGAGGATTGCCGATACACGGACGAACATGAAGTCAATGGGCTGGAAGACGGCGAACCAGTGCGAGGGGTCTCCGAGGGTGAACTCATACAGTCACCCCTCGAACCTCGCTCTAAATCCTTGCCCTTTGTTTCCTGCAGGCTTTGGCGACCTTGGGCATGTTGCTGTTGGACTTCGCACAGCTCCCGCGCCTTGCTGATCAAGAGGTATTGAGCTTGCTTCCGCTTTGCAAGCTCCTCTGCCAGCTGCTTTTGCAAGTCAATGACAACCTCGTTGCTGGTATGCAAAGCTTTGCTTGTGCGCTTCTGCTGTTCGATGGTATCCTCCAATTGGCTCATGCGCTTCTGCAGCCTGCTGAGGACAGCCTCCTTGGCTTGCAGCTGCTTGTCCTTGTCAGCGCAGCGCTGGCGCTCCTGCTCAAGCTGCGCCTCCAATTCTTGAATCCGGGCATGGGAATTGGTGCCCCGATGCCAGCGGCCCCGGCTGTCTTGGCTGTCCTCCTCCATGACGTACTCGAAGCCAAGATTCAGACGGGACGAAGCTATCGATTGTCGAAGGGCACAAGCAAAGCTTGAGCCGAAATGGGCGCTGCTCACTGCCAGCTGAGACTGGGCAACGCTCTGCATGATGCACTGCAAGCTGGCTATCAAGTCTCCTCAAGGGTGCCGGCCAAGACCAAGCGATAGATGACGCACGGCTTCGTCTGGCCGTCGCGCCAAATTCGAGCCATTGCCTGCCACATGGCAGTAAAGGCTAGTGGCAACATGTCGGGCTCATAGGCCTTCTGCATGCAAACAAAAGGAGATGCAGAAATACAAATAGACAAACTGTGACAAACTCACACACACACACGAATAGAAAACACCGAGTCACGCGATGACTCACAGAGACACAAGCACTTGTATGCATGTGAGTTAGGCATGCTTTTGCGCCTGCCTGGGCATCATTGGCTGGATTCCAGTCCTTAGATTTTTCAAAACTCAGACGCTTGCACGCTCACCACCGCTTGCTTCCAATGCCACCCTTGCTGATCAGGTCTTGTGTCGAGCGGCTGGATCGAAGAGCACCAAGCGATTGGCACCGATGAGGTTTAAACCGGTGCCCCCCGCTTTGGAAGACAACAGCAGGACCTCCTTGGCGCACTGAACATGTTGCTCACGAAGATCCACTCGCCTCCGAAAACATCTGTAGGCGGATGCAGGGCAAGTGCAGCACGAGCATCAATTCCTTCCGGCCCAGGCGTGTTCCTCAGCTCTCCAGTTCCGCCACATGAATCACAAACGGTGCGCCTAACGTGCGAATGGGCGTCACCAAATGTTCCTTCGGACGCCCTGAGCCCGTCGCGGCTCTGGCAAAGCACCCTTTCTGTGATATACGGGTCACGTTCATGACTACTCCAAGGGAACTCCCATGCCTCACAGAAGATGGCAGCCTGCTCATTTGGCCACCATGGCAACATGGTGAATTCCACGACCATCTGGTCAGCAATGTTGACCCCATATTCATCAACCCGGTGTTTACCTCCAATAGTGATGATTCCCTAAACCAGGCACACCCCGCCCTATTCACAAGCTGGGGTTGATTCATATGGGGGTCAACACTTGGTTGACTCTGGCAGGGGAGCAAGCACTCTTTTTTTTAGCAGTTAAGTGGGGATTGCAACCACTAAACCACCATAAGCAAAAATGTGAAAGATGTTTTTCCCAACCACCACGAACCTGCGAGAGCTGCGCGCCCCGGGGTGGAGTCACGGAGTCTGCCGGGCGTCAAGGCCTCCACCGCGGCCAGGCGCCGCTGGGGCGCCGTGTTCCCCGCCAGCAGCGCCGTGCGCCCGGGGAGCAGCCGCTGCAGGCGCCGCAGCGTCCGCGCGAAGTTGCCTCAGGCCGCGCGGGGTTCCTCGGGGCTTAGAAGGCCATGGCTCAAAAGCCAAAGCGGACCGTGGACATCCCCCCCAACATTGGGGGGTGCACCTACCCCAGAACGGTACCATTGGTTTTGACCCACAGCCATATGAAGAAGGAAAATATGTAGAACAATCAGGGGTAGGGTCGGCTTTGGGAAAGTGCTTTCAAACCTCTCGGGTGCGTGGCGCTTCTTTTCCCTTTGCTGGGGTTTCCTTGGGGCTTGTAGGTTTGATGGCGCGCGGCGCAGTTTGCGCGATCACTCTGGGAGTGTTCCCCCCAGTGCAAGCAAAGGCAGTTGAATAGAACCGACATCTCTCCAACAAGGCTCGATCGGCCATTGGACCGGCCACCGATGCTCTTGATTGTCATGCAAGATAGCGCTTGTCCGTGAGTGCTGTAGGGGGCATCATCGTGAGCCATAGGCCCAAACGGTAATCAAAATAGAAACATTGGCGCAACCGCGCCCTTCCCGGCCCCTCACTCATGGTTCTCAAACACAATTTCTGTGATACCAAAGGCCATGCCCCTGACTTCGCCACTTGGGAATCCCCATGGCCAATGACAGGTGGCAACCTCTAAAGCTTCCAAATGCCTTCTCTCCTCACTCCATCGGGGCAGCCGGGGCACTGACTACCACCACGCGGTCCTCAGGCGCCTCCCGGCGCCAGTGCTGCAACAGCGCCAGCAGCGCCAACGTCTTGGCACTGAGCCCGGAGGCGTTCTGGCACAAATCCCGGGAGATGTAGGTATGTCTCAAAGTTGGCGGGAGCCCAGTATCCCGTCAAAACCAGGAAAACCTGGGAATACCAACAAAAGACACACCATGTGGGTAATTCAGTCTGGGGGATGACAAAACCACATGTGGAAGTCGTGACATCTACTTTCACCAATGAGATCTGACTAGGAGTTGTGCAAATTGAACACGCCGGAAATGTATGGACATGGCAGCTGCTGGATGAAACGGGGCCGAATCCTGACCGAGCACCCTGCCTGAAGCATCTCCTTCACTGCGGGCGGAGCCAGGTCTGATTCCTCGGAAAGTGGCGAGACCCGAAGAGCAGTTGCCAACGCAAACGGATTGGCCTCGGAGGTCAAACCCGAAGGATCTCCGAGCCACAGACCGCCCACCAACAGCCGAGCATCTTCCGGCTTCCGCTTCTTGGCGCCGCGCTCAGCCGTGTCCTGGAGCCGAGGAAAGCACCCAAGGGACCACACTCACTAGGTCCTCCAGAGAGGTTAGAATAAGGGCACCAACTTTTTTCTGCAGTCTATTTTAGTAGGGGAACTTCCCCCCCAAAAAGGTAAAAGGCAAAAGGGCGCTACTGGGCAACCTAGTTCAGCTCCGCTGTGAAATGCGGCCATGGCGCTTGGATCAGATCCGCCGGATCGTTGCAAAGCAGGCGCAAGGCAAGCATCGTCCTTGCTCGCTGGTGTTCAAAATCACGTTGTCCAACACTCCCAACATGGAAGTGCTTGAGGCCCTTCTCCGAAAGGAAAGTAGTCACTAAGTCACCAAGCACTTCCAGGTTTGTCCATCAGAAGAGGGAGGCCTCAATGAGCCTATGCACTTCCATGCTTGCTGCTTGGCACGGACGCCAGGCTCCTCCCAACTCCGAACTGGCCGAGTCTCTTGAGAGCCTTCGCCATCTGGCCACCCCGCAGCTCGCCCAGAAGGGCCAGGTATGCCGCCACCTTGCCCGTTGAGTCTGCATTTTTGTGGGGGCACCCCCCCTTTGTTGCAAAGCCAAAGACCAACGCTTGGCATTCTGCAACCCATTCTGGGACTCACCGCACGTCCGCACGTCAGCCAACACCGAAGAATGAACCGCGCCTGAGCTGGCGCCATGCGAAGGCGCAGCACCACCTGAGCTCAGACACATCCCATAGGAATCCGAGAGCCCCATCTCGCCGCCTCCAGCCGCGCCGGCAGGGTGAAGCTCACATTCTCCATGGTCCGTCGCAGCAGAAACTGGGAGGTCTTGTGTTCCAGCCTTGGCTTCGTGCATCCCGCCCAAAGCGCCCAAAGTGCCCCAAGTGAAATCAAGGAGCAGGTGCCATGAAAACCCGAAAAACAAATAGCACTAGATCTTCATACAGGCATGTCATGTCTGGGATCCGCTTTGACGCAAACCCCTTAAAGCGGCACATACACGCGCCGGATCATTTGCTCAACATGCCCCGGCACAGTCACTCTACCAACCAGGTACTTGCTGGCCCTTTCAAAGCGGGGATCCTTCACTTTTGCTCCCTGCAGCGTGCCCTCTCATTTGGTTTCAAGCATGGCCCGCCAACTGCGTTTGGGTGAAAGTTTTGGCGCTGTTTCCCCATGAGGATTTATTGGGACCCACAGCAGCCCCTATGGTTGACAGTTGATGACCCTTTTGAACCTCCTAAAAGTACACATGGAACCTGACTGGAAGATGGGAGACTAACTCCCGGTGAATTCCAGGAACGGTGGTTTCTCTCTCTCTCTCTCTCTCTCTCTCTCTGCCACACCATCGGTAAGCCGTCCACGAGGGGTGCCAAGAGCCCATTTCAGGCCGCTTCAGCATGCAAGCTTGCCACAGTGGCCTTTACTAAGGCCTCAAACGGGAAAGGGCAAAAAACAAACAAACTACTTTTTGCTTTTTCTAGTGGTAGACCATTTTCATCCATACCCCCCCCCCCCCCCCGCCGAAGAGGCGCTCGGAGGCCGCCCGCGCCCCCAGCTGCCGCTCCGCCGCCGTGGCGTCCGGCTCCCGGGCGCGCCGCAGCGCGGCCGCCAGGGGCGCCAGAGACCGCGGGAAGAGGTCCGGGCCTCCGGCCGGGTGCAGAAATTTGTGTCATGGGTGCGTTTGTGTCGTAACCTTCTGTGAATATGGGGGTGGCAACATATGGGTCCCACCCCCAAAGTGGCGGTTTGTTCCTTCTAATGTCCCCTTTAGACCCAGCCAAGCAGGGTACAAAAAAAACAGCCACATATGTCAAAGGGGGAGAGGCTCCCCCCCAATTCCTTTCACCAGCCTCGACAATACCTAGGGGGGTAGGTTTAACCAACATAGGGGTAGGGTCCCTTTCACAAAGATATTGTGGATGGTTGCAACATCCGTTCGATTTCACAACGAAATGAACAATTGCTTGCTACGATGCGGTGCAAGGAAATCATCTTTCCAGGGTTTCTGAGCTGGTGCGAAATGGACTTCGTCCATCCACACCAGGGCGGAGTCTCCCGCGAAGGCGCTACATGCCCGGAGATGTCTGGGGGTTGCTGTGGCTGAGTCTTGGTTCTGGAACTCTGGCTCGGGCAATGAGGCTCGCACGAACAAAGCGGCCGCAGTGGAAGAGCTCCTGCGGCGAAGGGCTTGCGCCCCATCTTGCTGGCACCACAGAAGAGTTCGGACCACCTTGCAAGGCCGCAAACCTAATTTACACAGAAAGTCAACCGAACAGACGCAGCTGAAGAGCAGGGCTGCAGGGCTGCAACCATTTGAACCCTTTCGGACACCTCCAGGTCATTCTGCAGGGGTGTGCCGCTGAGAAGGATCCGCCGCTGGCAGCGCATGTTGCCCAAGCACTTGGAGGTGGCTGTGCCGTGGGATCCTCCGAGCAAAAGTGGCGCGTTTTGGTTTGGGACGGCTTGGCCTTGCTCTTTACCTACAATCGGTGAAGTTAGGGCAGCCAAGGCGCTCAATCGATGCCCCTCGTCGCAAATGAGCAAGTCGCAAACGTCATCCACGACTTCGACATGTCTTCGCAGCCTCGAATTGCGACCCGTCTGCCAAATAGATGCAGCTCCCGTCAGGTTTCAAGCGTCGCTCCGTGTGCAAGGTACCACTGCCAGTGCACAGGCAAGGCACATATCGTAGGAGATGATGAGCAGGCGCTGAGATGCGAAGTCGCGGAAGTTGCGGAGCTGGCCGAGCACCTTCCTCGGGAAGGGCCGACCGAAAAACGTCCAACTCGGCGACCGGAACAAGCGCCAAGCGCAGCCCGGGCGCTCACGGCCGCCTCCACACTCGATGGTCATGGGCTTCAGTCGCCGTTCGCCGATCCACTTCTTGACCTCGAGAGGCAAAAAGCACCTGCCCATGAGGGCACTCCGAACTCCATCTGTTGGAAAGAGGCATCTACTGAAGTTCCAGCCTCTGAATTGGCCAAGGTGCCTCAGCCCGCCAATTCCCGCACAGCGACGAAGGGCACACCACGACCGCCTGACGATCCATGGAGCCGATCGGACCCGACTGGATGTGCCATGCCTTCCGCACAGCCCCAGAGCGAAGCACGGCCCAAAGAAGGCTCAAGGCTTGCAGCGACTTGCCGAGGCCCATCCTGACACGGCGATTGCTCTGAAGGGCGCCTGGCGCCCCCCAGCAGCTTGCTTCAAGAGGAACCAACAAAACCTCGCCAGCAACAGAATATGATTGTGAGACTGTATCCAAAAAGCAGAGGAACCAATCATCAAATCATGTTGAGCTATGGCCCGCTTTGTCAGGGACGATCCAAGACAGCCAAACCACGTGTCAGCGAGGATGCAGCCCCTGTTCTGGGAGATGGCCGCATACCTCAGCATCATTGCATCCCTTGACAGCCCAAATTGCAGCTCTCCCTGCATGCCTCAGCACTACCAGACACACGCCTTTCAACTACGAACTGCAGCCCACACGGCGCTGGTACATAATGCATTTCGGCGTTTGGGTGGGCCTTGAAGGAAGTGAAAAGCCACGTTTATGGGTCCATTTCCTACACCCCCACCCCACCCCCCGCCCCCCCTCTCCACCGCGGCTTTCTAAGTTCCCCTTCAACATCACTCCGGTGAGAGGAATTCCCTACTGAGAACCAGCCCGCAATTGGATTCTCAAGGCTCCGCGCGTTTCATTTCCCCGTGCAACATCACCTCACCACAGGGAACCTCATTATAAATTGGCCCACGATCTGTGGAGACGCCCGTGGCTTAGTCACTAGCATCATGCACGCAACAAACAAGGAGTCCGGGCGGACGCAAAAGTCGATGGGGGATCTACGGCTATTTGCGGGTTGATTCTCTATGCTCTTCGCGTGCCTGATGTTGCCCCCTCTGCAAAAAACAAACACATATCTTCTTGTGGGTCCAATGTGTTTCAACCAAAACCTGGAGATTCCAGTCACCTGTTTTCAACCAAAAAGTGCTTCGTCCAAAGCCCCGTACCCCTCCCCCCTGAGCCCCCCCCGCCCTCCGACAGCACCGAATTGCATCTGAGTCATACTCAAAGCCCTTCTTATCACAATGGTCGTCCTCCCAGAATGCTTCAAGAAATCAGGCCACACTGCCACACCCAGGGCTGGGATCGGCTTTGAGCACGTGGCCACGCGGCCACGTGGCCCATCCGAGCCGCCCGAGTCGCCCGAGCCGAGCCGCATGAAGCGGACCCCCGCCGCCTGGTGGTCCCGCAGCTTCCGCGCCACGAAGGCCTCGAGGGACACCGGCTGCTCCAGGCCGAACTTCGCCGCCTCCTCGTTCCTTCCGCAAACCCGAAGCCCGAAACCCGAAGCCCGCGCGGTCGTCGAAACGACCGGCCCAAAGGACTTCAAAACATTTAAAAAAAAAAACTGGTGATGATTTCCACTACCCAAACCAAGGGTAATCAAGGTGTATAGTATACGTCATGTTGCCAAGCCGATGGGACCGAAACCACGGCAGCGGAACAGAAACCCTACGGGCTCAGCCAGGCGTCAGGAGGAGATCAGACTCGGACTTTTGGTTACCTGACGTGACGTGCGAGCCAAGAAGCAACCTACATGACTCCCCGCCTGACACGGCAGGCGTTAGAAACGCCTGGCCCGACCAAAGCTCCTCTTCAGTGGTGGGGCCCACCTGACAGCCCCGAGCCCAAGCCGGTGCCGGGCAAGTCTCACCCAGTTTCGCGGACAAGCTGCGACGGTGAGAATCACCGAAAGGTCTTCAATCCGCTCGCCGGGTTGAAGGCCGTCCTGTGCCAACGCATGAAGATCCATGACAGCAAGGTCCATTGAAGCTGAGCCGCCCAGTGCTGCAGGCGAACCTAGGCCAAATCATGGCCAAATCTGCCGAATCCGGGGAGCGGCTGAGCGCCCGACCGTGGCCACGGCTTCGCCCCATTTGCTTAAGACTTGGCCCTCAGCTTCTTGTGCTCACAGGCGGTTTTGGCCGAAGACTCTCTGCCTGGCCCGGCATCGCCACCAGCGCCCCGTCTTGCATCACCCGGTGCTTCCGAAGCCGTTCCTGGCCACTCGGCTTGGCCTTTCCCCCGGCATGTCAACTCAGGCCTTGGTGAACAGCACCCGGTAGCCTCAGGGCATGCGCCACGCTCCCTCTGGGCGACAGACTCCCGCGACCTATCAAGAAATTGCTGGAGTCTCCATGACCCTTACAAAATGGGGTCATTACCCAAAACAATGGGGTCATTGACCCATGTTTAAAGGGTCATGGAGACTCCAGGTTGAAGTATCTTGCGCCAGCAACTGTGCTGCCAGTCCGATTTCTGGACATGACAGGAGGATATTATCCCATCCCCTGTGCACCGTGCGGCTGTGTCTGAAGCCGAGCCACACTTCCGCCCATCCGAGCCGTGAGCATCACCCTGCCAGACAGGCAACAAAGCAAGCGGAGCAACCGAACCGCCGCGGCCTCCATGTTGGCGTCGTTGCTTGGCCACCCTTTCCCGAGCCATGGCGAAGGCGCAAATCAGCAAACCTGAGCCTGGGGCACTGCCCAATCAAGCATGCTCCGCATGTCCAGCGCTCGGTTTTCTTTGAAGCACCATCGCTTCGCATGCACGTGGCTCCTGGAACTCAGGAGGCACAACCGGACCTCGTAGGTGCGGACCTATCCGAGGAAACGACGCTCGCCCCGTTCGGTTCCGAAAGCTCCGCACCCGTATCCCGGAAAAGCCGCGGAAACCCGCCGAGATCATTTGCCCCGCCACTGTTGCGCAGGCCACTTCATAAGCCCCGTGTTTCACACGGATTCGGCCAAAAAGGCTCAGGATTTGGCCCGAACCGCCGTGAGTTACCCCTGGCCTGGCTTTGGAAAGCGGCAACCGCCCAGTGACCAAACACATCGAACAGTTCGAACACGAAACGAGTGACTCGTTCCACACACGCCTTGCGTTGAAAGGCCACGAGGATCACTGCCTGAGTCGCGAGCTGATCACAACATGCTCAGCGGGGTCGACGCTCATGGACCGGCACCGAGAAATCCGTCGCAAACAGCTCCTGTTAGCTTCGAAAGTGACAGCGGAATCTTGAAGCACTCCTGCACAAGCTTCACACGGTTTCTTCGTTTGGACATGACAACTGCACCGTTCTGTTGATTGGCGCTTTCTCTTGGCAACAGCCACCTCTCACTCTCTCCCTGCAAGTGACCACATTATGGCTTCACAACTGCCAAATTGACTACTCGCAAGTTCCCGCAACATCTCAAGCGGCTGGAAGGGGCAGGGGGCCTCTCCAGATATCTTGGTGCCAAGGTGCAAGCGGCGCTCAACACCCTGTACCTGCAGCTGGCACATTGGACGCCGCGGTTTTTGGACGCCGAGCGCCGGAAAACGACACCACGCCTCTTGCTGGCGCGGGCCTCACTGCGCGACGCGAACGGCCCCTCTCCGGACAGCCAACCCTTCCAAATGCACAGTCGAGGTGGCAAGAACGCCAGCCAATCCAGCAAACTGAAGTCTACAGCTATGGGTACAGCTCATCCCTTTGCTTAGATTCGCTCACACGCAGCACCGGAGGGAGCAGTGGCAGCCGGTGCCAACATCATGTGCCGGGGCAAAAAATATGTTTGCAAGCTACACTCCGCGCCCGCCTCTGGCCCAGTGATTCAAAGGCAACTGGGCCTGCCGCAATTCAGCTGTCCCATGTCATGCGTGCGACAGCGACCTGCCTGGGCATTCGGGAATGAGTCGGCTTGAAACCAGCCTGACAGAGTCAAAGTCATCGAACCACCTAATGCCAAAGCACCAGGCCAACGCCCATGCCGGGGTCCTGAGCAGATTCTGAAGCAAAAGCAAGTGTCTGCAACAGCCGCGCTCAAATCGAGCCGGGGGACGGCAGACGTACCCTGCGCTGAATTCTGCGAACTTTGTGAACCTGGCAATGGACAGCGCGAGCGCGCGCCAGCTGACTCGGGCAGATGCACCTCGAGCTCTGGAGAGAACCTGGCAAGCATCAGTCTCAGAAAGGAGGCAGCAACCAGGCGGCCTCCAGCTGCCGTGACAACTCCTGCACCTGTTGAGCAGCCTGCAGCAAGCTCTGGGCTGTCCTGGCGACCGAATGCGCGTGTCTCGCTAGGCTTAACCTCGGAAGTGAACACAACCGACTGCAAATCAACAATGCTGCCGGTCGGCTGGTGACCATGTGAAGCCAGTTCGAAGCTGCTTTGCGGCAGCGCATGCTTTCTTGGGGCCACGAGTCCAATCAGAAACGCGGCAACATTACGCCTCGTGCTGGCTGCCCGGCCTGTTCGCGGACTCCTGCTGCTGCTGGCTCTGCTGGCTCTGCTGGCTGCGATGGCTGTGCTGACTCGGCTGGCTCGGCTGGCTCGGTTGGCTCGGTTGGCTCGGTTGGCTTTGCTGGCTCAGCAGGTGCTGGTTGTGCAGCATCTGCCGCTGGGCCTCGTGCAAGGCGGCCACGTGCATACGCAGGGCTTCAACTCGTGCGGGGCCAGCGATAAACGTGCATGATTCGTGGTCAACATTGGGCATGGGAAAACTAGTGAGCCCCACAAAAACAAACAAACCACAGAGAACTTGAAATCAACTGCCCCAACCTCTAGACACGCTGAATTCTTCCTGCAAAGGTCCCTGCCTGCATGGCCTGATCCTGCTGCAGCTGCTGCAGCTGCTCCAGCTGCTGCAGCTGCTCGAGCAGCTCCATGACTTGCCTCTGCCGGGCCTGCTGCTGCAACTGGGCCAGCAGCTGCTGCTGTTGCTGCAGCGTATCTCTGAGCTGAGAATATTCCTGGCAGCGCATGACACGCAACCAGATGCGCGCAACCACCGGCTTTCTTTCTGTGCTTGCTCTTTCTTTCGACAAAACGAGGGGGAAATGGCGCCGCACGGGCGCTGAGAAACACAAGGGTCAGGGCGCCTGCAGCATTTGAGACATGTTGTGCTGCGGCTGAAGCATCGGCTCGTTGAAAAAGGATGGCCTCAGCCACAAGCACCTCTGTCTCCTCTGAGGCTGGCCAACTGTTTGGACACCAAGACCCAGGCATAGCAGAAGGCAAATGGCCTGGCATCAATCATCCACCGCTTGCACCCGAACTTGACATTTGCAGAAGGGCGTTCTCGCGGAATGCGACTTGCAGGGTCAACACAGTGCCCTCGGCCTTCCGCAAGGGCGCCATCCTTACATTAAAAGGGCAAGTTGCACGGCGCAAGACGGCCCATCTCGCATGGCACATCTTGCTTACTCACAGAAAGGTACGTCGCGACACCTGCCACACCTGCCACACCTATGCCTGGTCATGGCAATGCTTGCCGTGTGACATGGAAAAAGCCATGGCAAGCTGGAATTCTCTTCAGCCCGACTCGGCTTCCTTTCAGCTCCACTCGGGCCATTGGACTGTCCAGGGCCCGAGCCAAGTAAGGGTCAGCGCTCGGTGTCATCCTGCAAGCCAGACCCAACTTTGACGTTTACACCAGTGCATGTATAGGCTGGTGTGTAGGGTGTATAACACCATTGGACAGCTTGTAATTTAATGAGCACCCACCCACCCCGGCCACCCACCCGCTATACGAGGCTCCGTCTTGAATTGGTTCACTTTCCGCTACAGAGAGGAAGGCATTCCTCACGCAACGTGTTCTGTTGGAAGTGCATCCGAGGACGGAACAGGAAACAAACATGCCAGCCAAATCGACAATGTGTTGCAGGCGTCCATTTCATCGCACGCAACTCCGAAGCAAGGAGCCTTTGCATTCGACGCCAAATTGCATGGACAAGCAAGGCTTTGCATAAGAATTGTCCAAGCGAGATCCAAGTGAGCAATGGGTTCGTAGCATGTTACCTGTCAAAAAACTGTGGATACGTCAAAGCTACATCTCCCCTCATGCTTCCAGGTGGGTGCCATAGGTGACAAGTCTGCTCTCCTGAGCATCGCATCTGTGCCACCTGAGGAAGGGGCTGGGAAGCGCTCGTTTTTCCAGCGACGTTGGGCTCCAACTGGCCCATGGTTTCTATGGGCCTCAATTGATCCACCTACCAACATGCCCAATGGGAAGTTTTTGGGCGCTGGCTTCAACGGGCTAGACCAGAATCAACTAGTGCGTTTTTGCTTTACAAGCCCTTGCCAAAACTTTGTGCTCCAACACAAGTGCCAATGCCCTGTTGACTGATTCCTTGAGCACCGGCTCACAGCCTGGCTGTCAGCTTGTTTCGCTTCGACCCGCCTTCACCATAACGGTGCGAAATGCGCAAGATGAAGTCGGGAGGGATTGCCCCCTGGCGAAGCGGGCGTGCCGTTTCTTGATGGCAGCATTTCGGAGATTTTAAATTTGTTTAAAGGAAACCAAAAGGAAACCACCATTTTGCGGATCCCCCGAACGAAGATGTCGGCTAACCCATGTTTGGCTGTGTTGGAAGGGAAACCAGAAGGATAACCCTTTTTCAAAAAGAAACATGCCCAAGCCGCCCAAGTGAGCCTGAATGCCTTGGACGTGATGGTGCCCAGCCTTCTCGTTCCTCCGCCGCTCCATGCCCGGCGAGACGACCATGCCATCCGGAGCGCGGCTGAAGGGGATCCCGGCAAACATCGCCTGGCGAAGGCGGCTTCGTTTGAAGGCCTTCGACGCCAAATCGACGCCGAGACGCGAAGGCGAGCCGGCCTTGGCCATGTTGACGTACACGAGAATATTGCAGGAATCCTCAAGGAGGAAAAAAACAAAAACACGACAAGAGCCGGCACGAGCCGTCAAGACAAGGAAGATTCGTCCTGAAATCCTGCTCGCAGCTTCTCCTCCGCATCCGAGTCCGCGAACCTGGGCGCCCCGCGCTCAGACGGCCAGGCCCAGCCGGCCACAAGCGCCGCACAGCATGTGAGGCTTCCCGCTTCTGGTCAAGCCCTTGGCTAAGACCTGCGGCACAGAATCTCCTCGGCCGTTCGAAGGCGAAAGCCGGAGAAAAGCAAAGTCTTCAACTCGCCTTCCAGCCATGAGCGCATGCAAAGCTAGGCTGAGGACCACTGACCGCGTGAACTAAGATAGGCAAAGGCTGCTTGATCTCCTCGGGGTGAGGGGCTGGAACCAACCAGAGCCGGCTGTGCCAAATGCAGCCCAAGGCAGGCAAGGAGCTAAGTAAGCGCCCCTGGTGACATCCACTGTTTTCAACGTGTGCCCATGGGTCGCACGCACCCACGTACACTGGCCATCCTCCAGCGTCCTTCGCGCGGCAAAAGGCCCATGAACTCTGGTGGCCCATGCGAGTGAGACTCCCCAAGTCTCCATAAACCTCTTTGGCCACGGGGCTGGAATCGCTGCTTCCCGGGCATCCGGGTAATGGCCAGGACCTCTTCTGGTTCCGCATGGCAAGCTTTGGCCAAGTCGTCCACTAGAGCAAAGCCTCGGCTCGCGGCTAAAAGCCGCCATGGCCGGGGTCGTGGGGAATCCACACAGTTGGATGGTTTTCGGGATGCCAATTGGTTCTCAAAATGGGCCCCTAAAATATGGTTGGTATCCTTCTGGTGCCCATTTGAATGCCAAGCAAAAAGGGCCCGCCACCCATGCTTGCAGAGCCCATGCATCCGAGGAGCCATCATTTTGCATGCTCCTGAGCCCAAGATGCTTCCCTGTTTCCCTCTCCCTGGACCAAACTCAGAGAGCTTAAAGCCGCGCCTTAGGCCTTTGTGCCGAAGATATGCCGCCATCTGTTTCATGAGGCGGCTCTCTTGCTCGGCGATGGGGTGGGTGGGCGTAAACTCCCAGCGCTTTTTGGCCACTGCCATCGCTTCGGGAGGGCTTTCCGAACTGAGCCAAGCTGAGCCGGGCGACGCGATGCCGCGAAACCAATCCGGCCGGAGAAATCTGGGCTTCGTCCCAGCCTGCCAGCCCGCGTTTTGATCGCGCGCAACAAGGCTCAGGGTGAGACCAGGCACCCAGCGAAGTGTCCGCGCCCGCTCTCTTCTGCCCTTCGCTCGGCAAGGTCACGGGAATTGATGAGGGACTTGGCCTAAACAAACTGCGAGTGAGAAAAGTGCTGCTTGGCGTCATGTGATGCTTTGTGACCAGTTGAAACACCCGGCGCTTTCCGCCCTTTGTCAGGCAAAGCTCCGAATTCGGCACCCACATGTTTTTTTGCGGGCAGGCTCGTTAACTGCTGCGCCAGTGCGCAGTTTGCGCAAGTGGAAGGAGGGGAAAAAGAAGGTACCAGGGAGAAAGGTCTTGACCCGCTAACAGGACACAGCCCAGCGTTTCCAGGAGGCTATCTTTGTACATTCGCGTCACGGGCCTCGTGGGTTGGGGCTCACTGAGCGTGAGGTCGACGCAGGCCCTCGCTTCGGTCTGCTGGGGGGGGCTAATCCCGTAATCCGTTGTGGGACTCCATTGCAAGGGAAGCCAACCATTTTCCACAAGCAGCAAGGGTTGAGATTGAATCCAGTCAAGGCCGGGACGACCAGCATCAGCTCCATCCAACCTCGCGTGCCATGCTTTGCCTCGCGGAGACCCTCTGTCTGAGTGACCCGCCGCACAGAAGGGCGGCGTGTCCCCTGGGACTCCGTTCCCAATCCCAGCAGTGCTTCCTTAGAACGAAAGGCAAAAGGAAACCGGGTCTGCCACAA